GATTCTGACATGACATATTTGAATTTTATGCTTTTTAAACAATTTTTTTTCTATTACATATCTTTCTTCCTATCACTACCGATGGAAGAAAAAAAATTGCAACAATATATAATTGAAATGTAAAATGACATATAAGAAGTTGAAATTCATATCATTATCCATCAAATATAATTGACAGTGAACGCATTGTGCTAACAAAATTAAGAGAAGAAATTAATTAATAGAATCAATCGAATTAAATTAATTATACTTTCATTTGCAAAATGTTACGATGACATTTTTTGGAATGAATGATGCCGAAAAAGTTTTGCACTGAATTAGAATGATTTCAAAGACCAAAGGGATTAAAAATATTTGTTAATTCGTACGAAAGATTAATGAGAGAAAAAAGACGAAAACATATACAAGACAATAGTTTAATTTTAGCAATTAATTTTGAAATAGACAGATTTAATTTAATTTTACAAAAATAGCGAACAATAATTTTGTAAGAAAGAAAAAAAGAGGAAGGATGAAACAATGAAGTTTGAAGTGACGAAGAAAAGAAATTAGTGATAATTAGGTGAGCAATTTGTAGTGTGTAATGATGATGCGGAAGAGAAAGATGAAAAGCGGGAATGCGGACAGAGATGCATCGAGAAATTTACAGATGAGTTAACACAAGTAAGGAAAAGTAATGAGTTAAGATAAAGTAAGGAAATATGAATTTAAATCTTTTCCTAAACATATTGATGACCCAAATTTTCTGCAGTGCGGGACTAAAAGGTTCACTGCAAACTATCTTAGTCCCGCGCTTTCCCGATCAACCCACTTAATTTTCTTCTGCTTTTTTTTGTGCTAAAAAAGAAAAACAAGAATAACATAATGATTTCTAATAGCTTTTTCTGAAAAGAATTAAAAATTTCACTGATAAAAATAAAAAACTTTACGAAAAAAATTTTAAAGATGACAGGAAAATATTAATTTTGAAGATGTTTAGCCAACGTTTAACCAAAGTAAAATTTTTCATTGTAAACTGACCAAAATTAATGTGAATGCTATTATTTTTATTTCAAAAGGCTTATTTCTCTTTGCTTTTATGCCGTTTTGTTTCAAATGGAAAAAAAAATGAAGGAAAAAGAATGAATAATGAATGCTTAATTTTACAATTCAATGAAATATTGCTTCGAGCAATATTTCAACTTATCATTTGTTAGCAACATTTTGGATACAAATAGAAACCACATCAATAGAATAAGAATCATAGACAAAAATGATAACACCATGATAATGATTAATTTATTAATTCCAATACGTGTCAAACATGAAATCATTGCATTTCTTTTTCTTTCTTCTAATTCTCTCATAAACAATTTTGCTTCTGTTGCTGTTGTTGTTGTTGTTTTTATTGTTATTGCTTGCTGAACATTATGCATTCGTAATTTATCGCTATTTTTCGTGCTACTAAAATACTAAAAAAAAAAGAAACAAAATAATCAAGTACAAAATTTTTTATCAGAAATTATTAGAATTTTTGAAATCTTTCATCAAATCGGTATACACTTGAACTTACGGATAATTACCATCAAAATAATTTGAAATTCATTCAAAGCAGTAATTACATTTCATAAATTTGTTTGCTTTATTATTGTATTTCAATATTTCGCTTACAAATTTAATTTTATAACTTCCACATCATTTTATATCATAGCTTAAATCAGCTTTACTCATTTAATCATATGTATAAATATTTAACCAAATCCATTTGATGTATTTATCTCAAGCATTTTCGTTTCAATCATTTTACTGACAAAATAAAACCTCTTGCATTGTTGACATCTCTATCAGATTTTATCAAATCACGAAGATTTAAATTTCTTGCCCCACAAAAATTACATTTCAATTTTCTGATGTAATGATGGCAGACTTGCTGCTACCCATTTCCTGTCTTCTTTTTTTCCCGTAAAGGAAGATACAGAATAATAACAGGAAGGAAAACAAGATTTTAAAGTGAGAGGAAAAGAAAAAAATAGGCGAGAAATAAATTTGATAGAAGAGAATTAAGTGAGAAGGATATTTCTGCTTATTTACCCTCAGGGTAGATTAATTATACTTCTTTATTAAGCAATTATTTTGATACATTAAACATATTTAAAAAGTATACCTGTCTATTTCAATAATCAATAAATATCTGTTATAATAAATGATTTCATAATTTTCTTTTTTTTTTTTTAAAATAATTTTTAAAATTGCCGCAAGGTCATTTCCTTTTTCAACGGGTTATTCTGACTAATTGTAATAGCGCTGGAAATAACATAAAACTTCTTTTTTCATGAGATAAACTAAGCCAAAAAAAAAAAAAAAAATTCTCTCTTTTCCTTCTTCTTTCACTCTCTTTTTTCAATTAATCTTTAGTAAAATTCAAAAAGAGCTTGACCTCTTGCAATAATATTTAAGATATTGCATAAATTTTGTTAATAATTTCAAATAAAGCCCCGTAAATATTACAAAATTATATTTTGCAACCGATAAGGAAATATGTACGTTTACAATGAGTAAATAATTATTAATTTTAAGAGGAAATAATTGTGACGCATATGGAAAGAACGAGAAAAATTTGAATTATACATTGAGTAGGAAAAAAAAAACGAAATTAATCATTTAAGGTGTTCAAAAAAAGCTCAATTTGAACTACGTTTAAAATTTATAACTTTGTAACATAATATGATGGAATTTTCAGAGAAAAAAAAAGGTTAAAATTCGCAGTTGAATTACAAGAAATGAAGAAAAAGAACACGTCTTATCTTCCATTTCTATCAACTTTCAGTATTTTTTCAAAATCCTCTTTAGAATTTATTTCGAGAAAAAAAAAATTCGCAAGAAAAATGAAACTAAACAACAGCCACATAATTTATATAAAATAAATGATTAATAATGCAAAAATTTTTTCCTTCGAATTATATCAGTAATTACGTGATCATTCCAATCTGCTAATTATAAAGTAGAATTATAAAGCTAGTTATTTATAATTACTATGATAATTGAGTAATTTAATTTAATCCTATATTCTGCTAATGTTACGTTGCCGTGAATCTTTTACAAAAAGGAAAAAAAAAACAGAACTACATTATGTCTATTAATCATTTGATTTTAGCTCAACCGGAAATATCTCCCGGACTATTCAATTCAAAAATTCTAACAAATTATGTTTTATTGTGCAAACAATCGTTATTATCATAAAGCTTTTCCGGTAGCATGTAAAATATTGATGTATTTTCAGGAATAAACTATAATTCGAATTATTTATAAGGACCGAACAAAATTTAATTCGTTAATAGCTTATTTAATTTACATCCCAGAATGAATAATATAACATTTAGCAATGATCTGTGTTATCTGAAATGCTTATCACTATATTTTTTATTCTAACCTGGTAACTTTTTTTTTTTAAAAATTGTCGCAAGATGATCGATTAAATAGTTATTAAAAAATTATCAAATAAACACCCATTCATACAAAGCAATCGTAATTAGCACTAGAAAATAATATTATGCTTAAAGGGCGGCTTTCATAATTTACGCTTTATCAATACATCCATTAAGGTGAATTATTGTTAGTGATATATATATGAGTTAATTTTCAAAATGTACAGTGATTTTATAAAATTAAACAATGCTATTTAATAATTGACGTCGCTCTTCTACGTATGTGTACGTGTGCATTTCTATGCGTACGTGTATGTTTGTATGTATGTGTGTGTACATGTTTATATTTGTATGTGTAT